TTATTTAAAAAATTTTTTTCCGTAAAAAAAAAAAAACCTAAAAAACAAGAAGTTTTCTTTTCGTCATTTTATTTTTAGATATTATAACAATTAAACTGTCTTTTTGCTCAAAATCTTCTTATTTGCTAAGTGCTATGCACAACATCGCATTTAGCATATTTTGACGTTTATCTGAAAGTGAAATAGAATTAATAAAATTTCATATTTTTAGAAAGGAAGATATGCGATCAATCATTTTTATCAAGTTGTTAAGACACTATTCGATTTTGCATTCAATATTATGCTCTCATTTTTCCACCTGTCCTTCTTTTCTCTCTGAGAACTGAATAGAATTAAAAGAAATTGATCAATTGATGAAATGCATTCACCATTTTTTCCTTTTCCTTCGACTATAATTGAGATGTTGAGCGAAAAGACAGTTTAATTGTTAATAATATGAAATGCATTTGAAATGCATTTACGCTTTCCTTTTCTTCGACTATGATTTATTTTCTTATTCAGCATCTATACATCTTATGTGTATGGTTTTTATTTCAAATTTCTTTCTTTTTTTTTTTTTTTTTGAAAAACAAACAAATTAAATGAGCTAAAATGTCAAATTTAAAAAAAAAAAAAGATATGAACATTTTAAACCAAAATAATTTTAAATAACTACTTCAAATATTAAAATTATTCCAATTTTTTTTTGTTTGAATAAAAAGTAGAACAAAAAAGAAAATGATTAATTTGCAATGATTAATTGTTTCCATTTATGCGCGAAAAAAAAAAAAAAAACGTTTTCTGTGTCAAATAAATGATATGAATAATCATCAATGATTACTCATATCTTTGATCACTTTTTTATATCAATAATTTATCCTTTCTCCCTTATGCCTCTCTGTTCGTGGCTAAATTCAATGATTATCGAATTTATTTTGATATTAATCGAATAAATTTCTGATAAGCTAACATATCAGATAATATACATGAAATTGGATCAACGTAAAAGATAAGAGAAAAAATTATTCCAATCATATGATTTAAATTTCCAATAAAAAAATGAAATTTCAGAAATATTTGGATATTGTGGAAATAAATGAAGTAAGCGACTGATATGCTAACTTATGCCAATGGTATTATCAATGAAATCACCATAACTATCATGTCAATAATTTGGTTCAAATTAATTTGCATGAAAATGATTTGCAAACAAAAAGTCCAAAGTTCATATGATTTATTGCAAAGAAAAATTATATTCATAATTTGTGAAGTTTAGTTTGTTTGAATGGCGAAATTCAGTTTGAAAATTGGCATTAATTAGTAGTTAATTGTTGAATGAATAAATTCAGTAAGAAATATAATGATGATTTAATGATAATTTCGTTATCAAATGATAGTAAATGTTCCAAAATTGAAACGAAATAAAACTAAATCTGATTCATAGCATCAAATTATCAAGTAAACTAATTCCTCCTCACAATCATCATTTAGTTTGAATTCCAATCTTTAGAGTAAATTAGGATGACGATAATGTGGAAAGTAATTCAAATATTTTTTGCTACCTTAATATGTTTAATAACTGATGGACAAATGAACAGTGTACCAGAATCTGTTGATCCAACTAATCAAGGTAAGTTTGATCAAGTATGAATTATTTATCTAAAAATTAGAATGCTAAATCATTAGGTGAAGCAAAGCATTGTCATTAATTGAAATTTATGCATTTTCATCCACACTTTTTTTTTGCCTTTCTTTTCTGAATTATTCAAATTCAAATTGTCAAATTTCACAAAGAATGCATTCGTTTGCAGCGGTCACTACGCGGTCATTCTGTACAATGTAGCCTAACATATCGATAATAATGTTAGCAGTTATGATTTAATTCATTTCTGTGCTATGCTTTATCACCGGATTTGAAGTGAAAAAAAGTTTACAGAATTGGCACTTTTGGATTGGTCATCCGGTATTCGAATATTTTACTGTACTGATGCACCATTAGAAATTCTTGTGGAACCATTTAAACAAGCATTAATACGATCATTAAACAAATTTTGCAGAAATGCTACCGCATGTCGTCTTGTTAAATCGTTCGTTCTTTTTTTTTTACACTTAAAATTTTAAAATATAAATTAACATTAAAATAATTGCACAATATGACTATGAAATCATTCAAATATGCATTGAAAAAATTAACCATTTCAATATAATATCTCATTTTTTCAATTATATCTTTTCATAATTATTATTCGTATCCTTCCCTTTCTTTTTTTTTCTCCATCTTTCTTTATCAATTTAAAATAGCGTGTGAATTTTTTTTTCCTTTGAAAATGGAATGAAATTTTAAGACATTAAAAAAAAGTTTGGAATGATATATTTTTCAAGAAACAAATGATAGAACGAGAAAAATTTTTATTTTATTATTTTGCTCTGTCATTTTTTTTTTCTTGTCAGTTGCAATCTTTGCTCATCAATTTCTGTTCAAATCAAATGAATTATTCAAAAATATATTTAATTTTCTTAGCAATTATATTTTCTCAAGCAATTATATTTTCATGAAGTAAAAGGAATAGAAATTCTCTCTGTCTCCCTCTCTCTCTCCCTCTCTCTCTCTCTCTCTCTCTCTCTGCACATATACATATGGAACTTGATGCTACAAATTTGAAAAGATAGCTTAACGTTTACATTCCTCGTTTTTAATTAATTACAAAGTGAAAAGATAAATTCAAAAAAGAAAATTAAATGAACAAAAAATTAAAATTGAAATTTTATAACGAAAAAGTAATTTCAAAAGTTATATGACTTGGGAGCAATAAGAGCGAATTGGCAGCAAAAAATTTTCAGAATGATTTCAAGCGAAGAAAAGAGTTATCTGTTTTTCTCTAATTATCTATTCCCAAATAATCTGCTTACTGCAACGTGCATTTCTTCTATTTGAATTTTTGATCTCAATACCTACAAGTTAGGAAGTGATGAGGAGCCTAATCCATTCGCTGAATTCCTATTGCTCGAGCGTGCTACGGGTTGTGCTTGTATTCCCATTTGCTGTTGAGTATTTCGATGGTGCTATGGGTCAACCCAGAAGTCCGAGTGATGGGAGCCCAGGAAGAAAATAGGGCTCTGATCCTATTCATTAAACTATATACGCAAAAGCACTAAGGGTTACTATGCCATGTACGAATGTGAGTGAAATCCACGGGTCATTTGAATCTGACAATGAATGACAGATAACTGTTAAGATGATTTAAATGGAATTAACATTTCCTTTCTGATCAAATTCAATCATGTTATTTAAATTATCTGATACGAGAGAATAAGAATAGATTGGAATATCAATGTGCTACAGAATATCGTTTAAACCGGATTATGTTGTCTTGCTTGATGGATATCCAAAAATAAATTACGGTGCTGTACAATTTCGATTTGTTATTGTTTTACCACCAAATGCTGTACCAATGGATCGCTTAAGGAAACCATTCCTTACAAAAGAAATTCTCTCAAGTAATTTTACTTTTTTTTTTTTTTAGAATATTTCAGTTCAAAAAAAAAAAGAAAATTGTTTCAAACAATGACGAGAAACCAAAAATGAACCTTAACAAATTGTAATTGTCTTATTAAAATGAATGATATTTTCATTGATGAAACTCGAAATCAATCTATTTGTTGAAATATTGTCCATTTTTCAATGAATATATATGATGCTAATATGTTTATCCTGGAGGACTAATTTAGTTAATAGCTTCAATTCATTCTTTCCTGGCTAATAGGAATAAGTTTCTCTGAATTACATTTGAAATTTCTGAGCTCTCTGCATAAAATTTATATCGCTTTAAATTTGAACTGAAAAGTTTGAACTAGAAATTCTCCAATTAGCTAGAAGATTTGTCAAACTTTTAAGATTACAATCATTTTTTTTTGGTACCTAATTTAAAATTTATAAAAAAACAGACTTTCTGAATGCATCAATCAAAGAATTTGAGCGGAAATTTGGCTGGAAAGTAAGCAGTTATGAACGATTCCCGAGATTTGATTCAATAACGGAATTCATGAATGTAGCATTGATTCCTATTGGATTAATTCTTCTCATATTAATGCTTCTAATTGCTTATTGGTCTTCTACGATCAGGTAAACAAACATCTGATCAAGTTGGCCGTAATATTTACGGAAACAAATTTAATAACTGTAAAGCAATGTATCAAATTTTCAAATTGAACTCTTTATACAGCTCTGATTATTCAATTTCTGATTGTAAAATTGAATTTTAAAACGTTATTCAAAGAAAATTTTACTTTCAAAATTACTAAAAAATAATCAAATAGAGGAATTTACAGTCGTTCAACTGGTAGTAATGAAGAATGGTATATTGCTGGAGTAAGTGGTGGTAAGAGCACGGCCATGAAGTAAGTTTTATTAAAACTATAATATCGATCATAACGATAGAGACTAGCAAAAAGATCGCTTATAAATCTAAAAAAAAGGAAAAACTTAGCTGACTGTCAAGTAATTAATGATAATACAATCAATTAAGCTCAACTAATATTTGCTGTCAATTTAAAATAGCACAAATTAATAAAAAATCGAGGAATTGTCAAAGTTTATTATAATTACAGAATTTTTTTCCGGAATGTTTTTCAAATTATTAATTTTATTTTCAAATTGCAGAAGAACGTTAGAAATTATTGAAGAGCAAAAAATTTTATATGCTGAAAAGAATGAAAGGAAAGAGTCACGCCTCGCTAAACTTTCAAAGCTTTCAATTCAAACAATTCCTGAAACATCATCAATAGCGGAAAAACATGAATCAAAACAAGATATTGATAAGTCAAAAGAAATTACCGAGGAATGGGATAATAAGTATTGAATTCAAATCACTTTAAATTTTATTTACCGATTATTGAATTATATTGCATTTTAACTTTATCCATATAGATCATTTTTGACTTCTGTTCCACTCTGCAGATTTCAAATTTTAGATGAAAAATAACATGAACGAAATGTATTGTAAATGTAATATACAAAAATCATTTATATATGTATGTATATACATGTATATATATCAGTAATGAATTAATCAGAAATTTCAATTTACACAAGCTTGCATCACTACCTCTCTACATATAATTTGTGAATAGAGGAGAAGACCGAATATGGGAGAAACGATGAATTAAATTTTTTTAATCAATAAATTAAATCTATTGCAAATGACATTCACTTTTAGATCATCAATGGAACCAACACCATTACATTTGTCAACAATAGAGTCTGAAAGTACATCAACTTTGAATTCAACTATTGCTTTCAAAAATGTCGGGTAAATTTGCACTGAATACCGGATAGCTTCTTTTCATCTTTGTATCATTTTCACACAAGTATCATTCAAAAATAGTCTTGAGATAGTTAGTCTTGGAATGCTGAAATATTATCACTGTTTTTCGCTGAATAATGCAACTACACGAGTATATTCGAGTATAAACCGGTCATAGCATGATTTTATCTGACTATAACTTTTTAATCCATTCATAAAATCAAACTATCAAGAAGTTTATAATTAATTTTTACTCGGAAAATATATCTTTTGATAGCAAACATCTCTTAATCTCTTTACAGTATCCATTTTCCATTTATTCCTTACTATTTATACTGTTTATCATTGTTAATATACTATATAAATCAAACTAAATTCAATTTCTGCAAACATTTAGTAATATGTAACTTTACAGTGCAAGACGAATTTCTCATCGGCGGATGAGTTCCATTGATGATGGTTTTTTAAATATCAAACGACATCGCAAAAAGCGTTTTATCCCAGGAACAAAACGACTTACACAACGCCAGTGGAAATTGACAAATATGGCGTTGAGTGGATTTGGAAAATTCGGAAGATATTGAAAAAAAAAAACGATATATAGAAATTATCGTTTAAACAGTGATGATTCCGCTTTATAGGTCATTTGTTATTGATTAATTATGAATGAACCATGCATGCCTTTAAATGATTTCAATAAATTTTTCTCAGTAGTTATTTTGTGGAAACTTTCACGTAGATGAATATTCTGTAAATTCTATTTGTTCTGCGAATTTATTCAAATTGCTTCAAATTTCACTTCAAGCATTAGAATAATGATTGAACTTAGGGACAGTCAACTTACAGAAACTATGAAGAGAAAAAAAAAACAAACTAAATTTCAATGGAAATAAAAAAAAGCAAAAATAGAAGTCAGTCTATATAAATATTCTGCAAAAACTAATCATTTTGAACTGCCCCATATTACTTGCATATGCACAAACGGAAATAAATGTATCTGATTAGTTCATTATGCTACAGCTTTATCGAGATGTTGTTGAACAATCTTGAAAATTTCATCCACTGCTCCCTCAGATGGAATCTGCAAAATGACACTTTATGCTGCATATTCTACATTTTCAAAGTTTTTCTTTACTTTAAGAAGTTTCATCTGTGCACTTTAAATGCTCTTAAATGTTGAGATTACGAAACATTTTCTTATTTAATTCCAAGTAATCCATTTTAAGCTGATATTGTATGAATACTATTTCGTTATTTAATAGTCAAAAAAAACTAATAGGATAACGTTTAATGATAAGCCTCAGTAGAACTGCTAGCAAAATGGTTTACAAAATTAAGATTTTGGAAAATGAGAAACAGCAAAAAAATGGGAAAGTTGACGATAGTTCTAATTACTTACAAAAAATTACTTTATAATTTCTAAGTAATTTTCCGAAGAAAAATAGGCATTTTCAAATAATCTGTTATTATTTTTTTCAAAGGTTAGAATTTGGATTAGTACTTTTTTGAATCAAGAAATTTTATTCCAAACTGATTAACCATAGCTTTCAAACAAGTGAAAATAAAAAAAAACTAGTGTAAATACTACGCTTTAAAGACCATACCTTTACCAACTTTCCTTGCTTCTCATAGTAATCGACAACCGGAGCGGTTGCAGTTATGTAGGTGTGAAGTCGCTTTTTAATCGTATCAATGTTATCATCTACACGCCCACTAGAATAATAAAAAAAAGGAAAGTTATTCAGGAAATTGCAAAACAATCCTAGTGCAAGTCATGCCTTTCTCAATGATTCAAAAATCTTCACTTTATCAAAAAAAAAAAAACTAGATAAAAAAGAAAACCTTGTTTGTGCTCTATGCAAGCATCGCTTGACCAAGGTATCTTCACTGACATCAAAAAACAGTACCAATTTAGCTGGCTGAATCTGAAGTTAATATTTTAAATCGGATTCCAAACAAAAAAAAAAAACCTATTTTGAACAAATCGAAAATATAAATAATCATGTCATCGCAAATGCTAGTGTTCCTTTCAATCTACTATCTCAGACAATTCAAATATTCTCATGAAAGCAAATTTTTAATTATACAGAAGTACATTTCATGCAAATTGATAAAGCATCAAACACTGTTAATACAATCTATGAATATAATTTATGTTATCTTCAAATTCACAGAACTTTTGAATTGAATCTGTTTTGTTTCGAAGAATACATTTCCTTTCAAGAAATATATTTCAATATTGATTTCTTTGAAAATTTGCGCCGGAAAAGAAAAAAGCTTCCACCATTGTATAAGGAAATAACTAACTTCATTTTCGAACTGTTCTCCTTGCTTTACTTCTCGTGGATAACCATCAATCAAGAAACCTTTGGAACCTTTTTCCACCGCTTGAAGCATAGCTTCTTTAACCAAATCTAGCACTACCTCCTGAAAAAATCCAAATTAATAAGTAATATCTAAGACAGGCTCTTCTGAATATAGATTATTTTAATAAAGCATTAAGTATATATATATATATATATATAGTCAATCTATAAATTTTATCGAAATGAAAAACATATTCACCAGCGGAACAAGTTCTCCATTTTGCATCAATTTATTGAGTTCTGATCCACGTGGCGATCCTGATTTCACTTCAGCACGTAGCAAATCACCTGAGCTAAGATGTGTTAAGCCATATTTTGCTACGATCTTATCACACTGCGTTCCTTTGCCAGATCCAGGACCACCTAAAGGACAAAAATAAGTTCATACTCATAAATAATATTTTAAAGACAGCCAATAATCAGAGTGCTCTTATGAATTGAATACATTTGAAACCAACTGAAACCAATAAAATAAGAAGTCACGTTTAACTTACCATGTCACCGTGCTAAAATAAGTTACTTGCATTTAGCAATACATTTGAGCACTTATATTTTTTCTAAGTAATCTACTTCTATTCGCCTATTCAGCAAAATGTGAAAACAAGCACAAGATTTGAGCCGAATAATTCTTATTACCTTCTTTCTTTTCAAACTTTATTATACACTTTTCAAAAAGCTATCAATTTTTTCAATTAAAAATTAGTACATTATTTTAACTTACCAACGATAAAAAAAATTGGAACATTGGCTTTTTTCAACGGTGTTAGATCAATGTTTTTACGTTCAATTGGAGCCTAAAATACCAAATAACATAAACAACAACTGTAACACTAAATCTGACCTTATTTTTTCCGCTACTTTAAATTCACTTTCAATAAATACTAATTTATAAAATAGCTCATTTGCTAAAGGAAAAAAAAAAGAAACCATTTAAATAGAATGAAAACTGATTCGAAATCTCTCCACTTTATGTATTCCAACGAATGGTACAACTGCTCTCTGTTCAATGTTGATCTTTGAATAGTGAAAGAGATTTAAGATGATGATAAGTTTGGTTCAAAGAAACAGAGGATAAACTAGCTTCAAATCACTTCACTTTATTTTACTTCACTTCAAACTTTCAAGCTTTATCCGTTTGTCTGATTCTATTAACCTGCAAAACAGCATTACTAGTAATCGAGATGAAAAAAAAAAAAAGGAAACAGACATATCAAGAAAGTAAAAACGTTTAACATAACACACATTTTCAGTTCCAATCAATTGAAAAAGACGAAATGAATGTAATTGAAATTTGTAAAATAAGGCTATAACAAAAATTTCAGAATATTTTTAAAAAGAAAAAGATTAAAAAGAAATCAAGATGAGAAATTTTGATTAAAAAAAAGTGCAAGTAAGAAAGAGGCAATTTTTAGAGATGAAATTATAGAAATTATTGCATTATCACCGTTTCCAATGGATATCAAATAATCTTATTATTATCGACATCTGCAATGCTATCAACATTATTTTCTGATAGAAATAGTAACGAACAACAATAATTCATATAAATTATTTAAGAAAATAATATAAAATGTTATCATTTTGATAAATTATTAATAATATGATATCAGAAATGGAAAAAAATTACTGATATATTATCTATTTTGGAATGTAATTTATTGTATTCGTTCTTTTTATGTAAGCTATAAAACAATATACGAAATGCAAAAAAAAAGGCACACCACAAAATTCAACGAAAACTGAGAAATTATACTTACTAAATGTTAATTTTCCCTTCGCACATATAATACACACTACAGGGACAAATTATAATTACTGGACAGATATAAGAGAGAGAGTGAAAGAGAGAGAGAAAGGAATTCGATATTCGGAATTGGTTAAATAATTATTCGTTGCAAATGATGATTGTTTGATTTCTGTACAATATATTATGAATTTATATGTTTGCTGTATAATTCATTCTAGGGAGTTATTTGAAAAAAAAAAAAAGAAGAGGAAGAGTGTAAGAGAAAGAAAGTGAAATATTAGAAAAATTTTACAAAATCGATAAACTTAAAATAGATCTATCATGAAACATTTTTTAAAACTATTTTAAACTCTTTCTTTCTTTCCCTGGCAATTGGCAGTACATAAATTCTATTTGACAATTATTAATGCATCAATTATCAGTGCTGCTATTATTACTGAAATGAAAGCAGAGAAAATCAGAGAAATTATCGATATTCACTATTACTGTAATTGAAAAATTTTAATTTTGATTTACTTTAATTTTTTTCAAAAAAAAAATCGAATACAAAAACATGGATACTTCATAGCACAGAGAGATAATATATGTCATTAATCAATTTTCAAAATAAAATGATATTTATTATAATCGAAAAAAAATGACACATCTAAAATGATCAATCACTTTCCAACAACATGTTGAATACCCTCTTCAATATTTTTATTAAAATTTTTGATGAAATCACGATAGATTAAATCAGCTCCTTTCACTAATGGCATCAATAAATAGATGGTAATAATAATTTTAATCGACCAATACACTGTCCAATATTTTAGATAATGATAAAAAAATACATCCAACAGTGCTAACCAACCAAAAACAATCCAATATCTAAATATTCGTATTACTTCATTGAACAAATGATATTTCAAGAAAAGATGAGATATCTATGATTTTCAATGCTTCAGAATCACAATGATCCGATAAATTCTGATAATTCTAAATCATTAAAGACAGAATAACTTGCTATTAAGGAATAAGTAAATGCAAATTCATTTACCTAAGCCAACTTCTGCATGCATTAAGTCCACGACTTTCGTATGTAATATATGTCTTATACATTGGATATCCGACGCCCTGAAAAGTTAATAAATGAAAAAAAAAAACATTTTATGCTTCAAGAAATTTTAATGTCTTACAAAAAAAAAACAGAACCATATAAAAAAGAAAAGATATTTTTTTAATACCATAGCATAATAGAGAAGTTTTGCCAGATCTCCATTTAGAATATACAAAAAATATACTCCGGTTAATATGTAAAATACTATCAATCGTGAAATACCCAATTTTTCCTCCAAAAATGTCCAGCTTAAATGAATTCCACTATACTTATGAAAATTTTAGAAAGATTTATTGTTTTCCACAACTTTTAGCTCCAACAAGTTTATCAATAAAAATTGAATGTTTTTTGTATGGAGATCTCCCTCTATGCTTTAATTTCTCAAAAAAAAACAGTGGAACGAAAGTTTCAATCAAATATTATCCGACGAATTTTTGCCTAAGCAAAGTGAAATATAAAAATTATAAAATTTTGAAACGGAAAAATTACGAAATCATTAGTAGCTGCGTGAAATAATGTATAGACTTCCAACAACATCACACCTATAGAAATATGAAAATAAATTTTTTAAAAAACATTTAAATTTAACAGCAAAATATTTGTTACCACTGATTGCACCGCCTGTTATCGCTATCATAGAGATAATTGGTTACGATCGTATGAATGTTTTCAGGTGTTAAATCCCACCAATATTGCACTAAAGTATCACCTGATGTGTGTGTGACAATCATGCTTTTCATTCCAAAAACTAGAATATGAATCATTTCTTTACGAAAAAAGCAATATGAATCATGTAATTATTGAATAAAAATTAAAATTTCATTTTTAATGAATACATTGGAAAGATTATCTGGCTAATTAACACATTAAATCTCCAAATAACGAATTCATATGAGTGTTACACATGGATTTTCTCCCATTAGGCTTTAAAATATGAATTTAAATCACTTATAACTAATATTACAATTAAATTATCACTATATTTTAAGATATTTTGAATAAAATAGAAAAAAAAGCCAATCTATAAATAAGCCATTTTACAATGTACATCTTATAAATTCCAAATTAATCTTAGCCTTCTGCAGCATCATCTCAGAGAGATAAAAAAATATGATTTAATTCTATGCTAAAAAGAAAACTAAACTATTCCAGTTTATTCCACTTCATTCATATCAGGTTTTCAACTTCTGCAAATTCATTCTACTTATACATTAATAATATCTTAATGCTATCAAACTTATATTGAAGCACGAAATATGCACAAAAACAGACTTCCCTATCCCTTTCCTATATTTACTACAGAAAACCGCAATACCAAAATTTTAGTTGATTTAATGCAAAAATAAGATGAAATTTTATACATGAAAGATCGGAACTGTAGTCGGAAACAAGTGAAATTGTCCGCTGACTGCACCGAGGCTAAAATTACCTATCCATTTTTGATAAGAATTGAGGTTAAAAGTTATAACTGTATTTTTAAGCATTAGGAATAAAATGAAATACAAATACACAAGCCATTTTAAGAGACCTCATAAGTTTCACAATAAATAAATCCTATAAAATCCACCAAAGATGGAGCCTAACTAGATCTTGTCGAAAAGAAAAGACTAAATAGAACGAAAGGAAAGTTTTCTGATCAGCAGAAACTAATCAAGCCTTACAGTCTAGTTAGATCATTCAATCAAAAAAAGCAAAAAAAAAAGAGTGTAGAAAAATGAGATATTAATAAAACACAACTAATACTTCAAAAAAATACCCTAAAGTGATAGGTCTTTAAAGTTTTGTAAATAAATATTTCCTCAAATTAACTTAACTCATTTCTACACAAAAAAAATAGCCTAATAATAAGAAATTTAGTAACTTTAAAAATAATTTAATTTCAAAAGAAAAAAATTTAATCAAATAAAAATAAAAAGCAAAAATTTACACTGATAGAAGTATTAGATGTTGCATCTTGTAGCATGGTATCCGGTGATACTGATCGTTTATAGGGACTGATAGAATTTGTAGTAAGTGTTGATTTACTTGCACAGTTTGCTGTTATCAATTTCTCATTTGAATTACTTTCATCCATCTCAATTGCTGTTTTAAGCATTTCATCGGAATCGAAAGATAGAAATGATTGCTGACATGGAATACGTTGAAAATTCTCGGGTAATGTTTTATTATCATTTCCTCTATCGATTGCAACTGATTCTTTCCTCGACATTCCTCCATATAAGCCAGCATACTTTTTAGCAATCAATTTCTACAAATTATTTTACTGGAAATGTTTTATCGATCAAAATGATATGCTATCAGAGTAGTACAATTTATCAGTAACTATAAGGTAAAGGCATAGTTTTGTTATTAACTACAACAATAAGGATTATCATATTGTAATATTAATTGTCAATCTATAAACAAAAAATTTGTCCTTCTTCTCATAAATGGTTTTTTCATTTTCAGAAATCTTTTTTTTCTCAAAATTTCCACAAATATTAGCAAAAATAAGCTTCCGGAAATTTCACAACAGAGGCAACAAACTTTTCAGAGTGATACGATTAATTCAAATTTTATTTCTATTGATCAAAAAATTCACACCTTTAATATTTCCATTGCTGAATCCGCACCCTAATTTAATACCAAAACTCGGCTGCTCATATAAACCGCCTACCAATCAAATGAATGAGGAAAATAAATTTGCACTGATATTTTATCAGAAATTTAAAGAGTAATACTTCCTATAACAAAAGTTTATTGCATATACTTTTAGCAATTAGTATAAATCCATGAGAAAAAAGGGACGAAAGAGTGAAAAGTCATTATCCGCGTCGTTAAGGAACAACTAACTGCTAATGCTTGTACTTTTATTATCTGTCAATAATTAGTTATCTTTATCAATATATCATCAAACCACTGTTTACTTACCTCCATCAATCGCAAATTCATTCACTCAAAAAGTGATTGCATTATCTACTGGGAAATGTTTCCCTCATACATTGGTATTGTTTAAACCCTTCTTATTTTTACATCACAATGAAATATAATTCAATCAAGCTATTACATAAACAAGAGAAGCATCAAAAAAAGTAACAGCAATTGGAGCAAAGAAAAAGAAAGAAACTTTTTTAAAAATTTTCAAACGCTTACGCTAAATTTTTGGGTTTCATTTTTTATAACATTTAAATTATATTCAGGGACAAAATGCACAATATACTGAAATATGTCAATACACATACACTCATTCAGGCTCAAAACAGTTATATGAATTAAGAAATTATTAATACTGTAATATGATAAGTTTCTATTTCCAGATCAACTTAGCATCTATGATTCATATAATAAAATCAGGGGTTATGCATATAAAACTCATGCAAAATTTTTATCACGAAAATCAAACTTCATATTTCACAATATTTTCATAATATTCGGTCTGTTGAGCTATTTTTCGATTAGATACTTCAGCTATTCGATCTTCAAAGCCATTTGAACGATTTACTCCATCCCATCGATAACCTGGCGCAATATTGAAACGATTCGGTGGCCAACTTCCTTTGTATTTTGGATATGCTGAAAAAAAAATGATAATGACTTCCTAGAAAATTCCAGTACTTTCAACTACTTGAATTATTGCTCAAATTTTGAAGAAAGTTTAAGATTAATAGCTTAAGTGAAACATTGAATGAACGCATACATAAGAGACAGATAGGTTTTAATGTGGCTGAAAACAACGTCTAAAAACGGTATATTTAAGAAATGAAACTAGTGTTCAAAATTGGAACAAAAAAATTCCAGAAACAGAAAATTAATATAAAAAGTAATACCCAAAAATTCATAATTCATAACTCTTACCAGTCCCACTTTTCATTTCTGCATTTTCCTTTTTCTTTTTTACATATTTATACATCGGATCTTTCTCGTGCAATTGCTGAAAAATACTTCCGTTATTCAAGATTATTCGCACGCACTACTGCCAGTTGATATTCAACATTTCTTTCATCTTCATTTTACTTTCAATTAATTAAGACAAAGGAATAAATACGATGATATCAGAAAGGTAGATAATGATATAGCTAAAAACTTCTAATATAAGCAATAGAAAGTTAACTACTGTTATTACTATGTGATGCGAAATAGAAATAATTTTGCAGTATCCTTCTCATTTCACATTTTGTTATTCTATTGTGTTTCTATCAAAATTTTTCGTTATTCTATCAAAATCTCTACTATTCACTCTCTCTCCATATCCAGAAATAGTCTATAGCAGTATGTTATCGAAAACGGAAAACTGCAAAAGTGGAGCGATATGACACATCATTTCATCATTAAAAATACCTCTTTCAAGTGTTCATTCATTGCCCTGTCATCAACATGACGTGCAAAATCTTCTTGTGCCACTCGAGCCATTTCATTCAATTTTTCAGTTCGCTAAAACAGTTAAAATCACTGATTCTAATCTTTGCAATATTCGTAGTTATATTCAAATACGATAATAGAAAAAAATATGCATGACGCAAACCTCTTTTAATTGTCGCAGTCCTTTGTTCCAACTTTTATATTTCTCCTCTAATTCTTGTTGCTTTTTAGCTTCACGTTCCTTCTTTTCACGATCTTCCTTCGTTTCACGTTTTTTACCACTTAATTTGGCACGACGAGTAACTGCGACATCCGTACCACTCGTGTATCCATCCCAACTTTTGAGTAACTTCAAATAGCAGTTATTTAATAATTTTGAGCTTTAAAAACTGAAATTTTAATTTCTGTTAAATTTTCTAATCATTAAAAATAAAGAAACCCAATAATGAAACGAAAGAACATTTGAAGCGAGTAAAACCTAACAATTATTTTTGACATTCTAAAATCTACTTAAATCATTTATTCCAAGCTATTCGCTAATAAATCTTATCCATACTTTCTAAACACAGTGCAGACAATAATTAAATAAAATTTTCAACGACGACAACCAAAGTCCTACTTTCATCTCATTTTCTTGAAGTTGCTTCATTTCCTCTCGATGCGATTCCAGTGTTTTAAGACCAGCACTTTTTCCAATCACTGGTTTAACATTACTGTCATTTGATCTATCGCATTTACTATGATGTGATGCCCTACTACCATCAGGAGAATCTTTTCGTCCTTGATAATCTGTAAAGTATATAATGTTCGGTGAATCAGACAGTACTATCGTTTTTTCGCATAAATATAATAAAAGCTAAACCGCAAAGTTAATTTTCAGTGGAACAGTGCAACAGCTAACTGTTAAAATAACTTGAGAATGTAGGTTGTGAAGTTCTAAATCAACAGGTAAAAATTTGAACTTGAACAAATAGAAAATGCATCTTTTCTAAAGATTCTTAAAATAAGTAGGAAGTTATATTTGTAGCAATATGAGAAGCTTAATATAACACAATCTTTAAAACTATTTTCTGAGTAATAAACCTCGATCTATTTGAATGAAATATGAATTAGCAAATCAAGAATACTAACAGCTAAATCAAATTTTAGTTACAAATTTCATATAAAACAATGGAATCTGATTAGCAAATATAGAGAATGTTTGTCCGCATAAATCACAATTCAATACTTACCATTATGACGTCCATGACGTCTACTGGAATTTTCGTGTTGACCTCTTTCATAATGCTTTCGCCTTCTTCCAACGCTTTTGTCATATGATGATCCATCAGAGTCCGAGTCCCAACTACTTTTTTTATGTCGAGAAGAGTCGACAATATTATCTCGCCTTCGTTTTTGATGTCCATAATCATTGTATTTACGCGGAGGAGAAAGATCTGAGTCAGAATTATCTGTGCGTTTTCTGCGTCTTGGAGGTGAAACATCCGAATCGTCATCATTAGAATTTCTTTTAATACTATGCATTGATCTTCTTGGTGGAGAAAGATCTGAATCGATTGGCTCATCTTTGATTCTGCGACATGGCGGTGAAACATTCAAGTCAAGATCATTTGTTGATTTTTTTCGTTTCGAAAATAAATGATCTTCATTATTATTACAATTTCGCCTTGCACAATTCGCTAATCCTCTTGATGGCGAAGTATCTGAGTCAAGTGGCTCATCCTTTACTCGATGTATTGAAAAGGAAATATCTGAATCCGCTCTAGTCTGTGCGATAATTTTTTGATGAACAGAGCAATCCTTATCCGTGACTGAAACACTTTTCCATACTTCTGAACTGGTAGTCGGAAGAGATATTTCATCTGGCATAACTGAAAAAGATATCCACTGCTAAAAGAATATGTAGTCTGTCAAAATATATGTCCTTAGCAGCCATCTTTATAATTCATAATGTAAAGCAGTTATATTTTAAGCAAACAAATGAGCTGTTTATGGGGATCTATGAATATTAGGACAGAGCATATCATCATCAAGCAAAATGAGCAAAAGATAATTTAAGCAGATAAATTCCACAGTGTTCTGAATGCCAATACTTCGTTCCGTAAAATTTGGAATATCATTGCCAATTAAAAGTTCCATTATCAAGATCAGCAAAAACAAACCGTTTTCATCTGATGAAGAATCATTTCGTTTCCGCAATGTATCTGTTTCTGCTGTAAAAATGAAAAAATTCATTCCAAGATATAATAATGTAAAATCTGCATCGAAATAAGCCTGAATAGCTTTTCAAAATGAATGGAATAAAAAAAGCAACCTTAGGTAAACCTGAAAATGATTCAAAAAAACAATGAAAACATCTTGAAAAAAAAAACAAATTATTACTTTTGAGTTCAACAGCTTCAAATGCTGCAGGCTTGAACTTCGGTACTGAATGTAGCTTTTCCACTTTTTCCAATATTTTGATCTTAAAATAAAGAATGATGATATGTTTTAATATGTAATTTGATATATCAAGTTATTCCTTGCATTTTCGTTTTTGTCAAGGGAAACTGATAATATAATGCACTATAGCCATGAATGGAAAAAAAATTTGTAAAGTTTTTTAAGTGAAGACGTTTTAAATAATTCAAAAATAAACACTACTTTTAAATCATTTAGGACGCTAAAATGTTGCGCCAAAAACATAAAAAATGTTATTTTATAAATAATCTGCGAATTCAAACTAACATCTTTGTCACTCTCATCATCTGAAGCCTGCTCAGTACATGGTGCAACATCAGCGAAAGCATCGTTTTCACGAATCTTTAATCTGAAAATTATTTTATAAACATTTTATCGCACAAAATATACGTTAACTATACGAAATTAAAGGTCAATCCTAACAAATTATGCAACGATGATTCATATTGATGAACTCGGAAAGAGTCTCACAGATTTAAAATACTTTGAGTAGTTCGAAATAAGTAAATATTGATTTTATACATCATAATTTGCCATTAAATTACTTTTCCACGGTTAAAAGGCCGTTGGAAATGTTTCAAATAATGGGATTTTTTCTAATTTCGTCAATTGACGAATGGTAGGATTGAACCTTATCATTCTTTTTTTCTTATGAAAATACAATATACAGATCACAAAATTTCTTTTTGAACTAAATGTTTGAAACAAAGACAATAAAACTTTTGTTGTCTTTTTTTTGTTCATCTAGTAGTTCAGATTAATATAGTGAAACAAGCCCAAAAAAATAACCCTGAAACAGCTGAAATTAACATTAAAAAAACTGAGATTTCCAAAAATTCCCAAGGTAATTTAATCCTAGCACTCGTAAGGTTCCCATCTGAAAGTAAACTATAGCAAACCCAATTCCAATCCTGTTTTTTTTCTTATGTTTTTTCGTTGATTGTTTGTTATCTTTGCTGAGATACTTTTTAAGATATTCATCTCGTGCTTTCTTTGCAGCATCATCCATCACTCTTTTCTGAAATTTTAAACTACATTGCAAAAACACCAGGAGGAAAACTAATAGTGTTGAATTTATAAAAAAAAATTATTGGATCTAATAAAATCATCTATAAATCACTATTTATAGAGAAATAAATAGGTAATGGAAATCCGAATGTGCATGAAATCTTCAACTCCACTTCATAAGTCTTATATTTATAAAATTTCATACCATCTTCAAAATTACAACTCAGTAAAATTGAACAGATACTTCAATAATTATAAAAGAAAACGGGAAAATAAGCAAACCATAATAATTCAAATCCATTACAAATCCACTGTTTTGGCAATACAATTTAAGATTTGATTGAACAGATTACCTCTATTCATAACAGTCTATCTAATCCCTTAATTTACTTCTTCTTTTCTATATTGGCTACAACTCCTAAAAATTTATTAACTCATTTTTCTTCTACATACTGAAGCGTATTGACAACTGAACTGATTTTTAATATTAAAACAATACATTCACTGAACAATAACTGATAATAATAAAGATGCTACAGTACAGCAGTGAAAACCCGAGCAATTCTGACATTCACTATGCAATCACTGCCCCTCAACAGTGTAAAAAAGTAAAGGACTAACATGAGTGAACAATAAACAATTCCAAATTAATATCAATAAATCAACCTAAGAAGTTCGCAATCACAAGATGAAATATCACATGTGCAAAGATAAAGTCAGCAAAAGCACGTTCTGGAGCGATATGGGGGAACAGTGGTTTATTTTCCGGATTGATTTGGATGCGAAGAGATGCTGAAAAAGAACTTCCCATTAAGACCTCTTAATAAATAAGAACAATAGAAAAGTTACGGAAAATATTACTAACTGACAGGCATATTTCGCTGAAATTCAAATCAGCTAATGGGTAGAAAAAAAGTAAGTAAAAATTAACTTATTCATTAAATAACTTCCAAAAATGAAAAATCAAACCTGCCAAAATAAAACAACCTACTGTCGATACAAAACCAGATAGGAACGAGTTAAACGGAAATGTCCCAATGAGGACACAATAAACAAACCTGTAAATACATTAATCAAATAAATATACTTGTGAGAAAAATTGTAAGGACAACTGGTAAAGTAAACTGTCGTAAAAGTAAAGCAATGTGATGTGTAAAGACACAAAAAAAAGTATGAGATAATTCCCTGAATTGTATAACCAACAAAAAATTTAAGCTGAGTGATACATAATGACACTTATAAAAATAAATTAGTAGATATGAAAATAAAGCCATATCACACTCATATTTCAAATAAATTTCGAACATCTTTTATTTAAAATGAAATAATCAAATTCTGAAATCATATGAAAACTACATTTGAAATTATGTATCATCTAGCTTAAAAGAATCAAAGCCTAAGCGCACTTCTTTATTTTCCTAATTCAGCTTAAAACTAACAAGATCCTAATATCATATTGAGTGCACAACAGATGATAAACCTTCAGTACGTGTATTCCAATGATAAACCTTCAGTACGTGTATTCCAATTTATTAATTAAAATATAAGTGATTAAATTTGCCAGAAGTGTATGAATTTTTTTCAATAGTCAATGAAATAACTTCATTTATCGAGCACTATATCTGAGAAGTATGTATGGCTTCTCTTTGTTCTTCAACCACAGAAAAAATGCGAACATTTTCTCAAGAAAAAATAAGCATAACTATTTGCAAAGCAAATGAATTTAATAGAAATAGCATTAGAAAATATTACTTACTGGATGACACCAGTGATGAAGACGTAGAACATGTAGGCATCGATCAATTTTAGCTTTTTGGACGTTGTCCGCTGGTACTCATCGAATAAACTACTCAATACTGTGAATAATCTCATCGCCGATCACTGGAATTAACATAACTTAAACTTTAACTTTTTAATTGTTCCATTAATTACTATCATTCTTTTGCTCTTAAAAGAATTACTATTTTCTTTCAGGCCTAATAAAACCATTTAGAACAGATATTGATACTGCTAACTTACGATACAATTTTGTTGGAAATTGAACCCTACATTCCAAAGATATACTGAGCAGATCAACATAATATACGTAATATAATCAGCAGATCAACGATTCTATCATGCAGCCATATCCCAATTACGTTAGTAGCAATTTTAGCATATCAAACTCAACGCATCTATCCGCTAAGAAATCATTTCGAAAGTAATGTTACATTTAAAAAAAAATCGAAGAAATAAGGATTTATAAAGCGAAGAAAAGAAAGTATCAATCAATTCCACAAATAAGAAGCATCCATATAAACACACGTATACCCACGCATACTCCATCAAATTTACACGTTTCACGCCAGCTATATGCAACGGTATTTCCTGGTTGGACGTACTGTCAAACGAATGGGTTTTCATTGCCGTTCCTGATAGAGGTGTTTGCGTGATGCTGATGGATTTGCATCTTGCATTATGCATATCGATAATTGTTTTGTATGTCGTAAGTTTAAAAGTTAAACAAGGTTTAGATATTAGAAGTTGCAAAATCTATTAATTTTAACAGAATTTTGAAACTTAAAAATTTTTACAAATCAATAGATTTCTTGTAATTAACAAGAAATAATAGATTTAGTGAGTCTCAGTACATATCTTTTGTAAATAAGGTAAAAAAACTCGATGAGTGATTCTTCTTCGTGTACTGAAAAGGAAAAATTCCTGCGTTTTTTTTTTTTAATATCTACTTTTTCAGGATTAAGAAGTAATAGAGAAGTACTGCTTACCATGCACATAGTTATTGTAGTTCTGCTTATCCTAATGCAGACTTCTGTTTTGCATTCAAATCATCATGGACATAGCCATGATATCGAAGCACCGCACTTCAAATACAGTCGTGAAGCTAATGAGAAAGTGATTTTTTTTTTCAGTCAAATTTCAACTCAATTTATAGATCAAAATTCATTTTTTTGTTTTTTTTCTATGAATGCAAAGCTTACAACTAATTTAATGTTTATTTATGTACTGTTACATTGTACTCAATTCTTTAACATTTTACCATTTATATAATACAATTCAGATACAGAAAATTAGGTGGAAATTCTGCTCTCGTATTTTCAGCATGGCGATCATGGACATTCCCATCATCATGATCATCATCATGGACATTCAGAAGACCATTCGCATACGTTTGATCAACATCATTTTCATGAGAAGGAACATCATCATTCACATCTCTCCGAAGTTCGTATCTTGTCGTCTTTAAGTATCTTGCCTCGTTTTAGAATCCGGATTTGAATTTGCACACTCTGAATTGAATTATACGGTATGTGATGGAGGATAAACATATCATCCATTCATGATAAATAAGTTTAGCTGAATTTAGATGCTAAATTTTATTTTAAAAATTGTATATTTAATGATATGAAGTATGTTTTTCATCATTATTTCACTATTTAATACGTTGATTTTTTTTTTTTGAAAATGATAAAGAATTCTACAGTTTTGGATTTTTATTTGTATGAATATTTTTCCAGGAGGATAGTCATCATAATCGACAACATATTAAATCAAGTCAGAAAAATTTTAAACCATACGATCCAAATGGGTACTTTTTTTCATACTAGTTTTAATTATTACTTGGGTTTAATTCTGTGATATCATTATATTGAGTATTGTAATTAATGACTTAAAAGTAGGAAATGGGTTTTCAAGTACTAAGTCTTGCTATAGCATATTAACGATATTAGTTTTGTTGCGGTAATGTTGATATAATATAAATTCAACCTTGCGTGGAACTAAATTATTTCACTTTTTAAGTAAGCAATAATTTTATGAATTTAAAGCAGGTTTTAAATATTGAGCCTATTTCAAAGAGCTTTCATGTTCAGTAAATTTATTTTCCTTCCAGGATTCTATCTTTCATGAATGATTTTCAAACACGTCTTTGGGTGTATAGTATTGGTTCAACATTGCTGATCAGTTTTATGCCATTCGTTTTACTGTCGCTAATACCTTTGCAGGTGAAAGATTATTGCATGTTGGATTTCTAGGGTGTAACAAATTAGTCTGATGAGTTCATTTCAATGCTTATGGAAAGCTTGTATTAAATCCGTCTTTTTTGCTACTGAATTATTTTCCAAAAGGTTAATAGCTTGTGAAAATTTTGTTCAAAAATGGATTTTTATAAAATGAATTATATATTCCTACTCATCTATCTGACTAATAATTCAATAATTTGAGGAGAACACTGCAGAAAATGAACCAATGCTAAAAGTCCTTTTGAGTTTTGGCTCCGGTGGTTTACTGGGTGACGCATTCCTTCATCTGATTCCACATTCACAACCTTCTCATCACGATGGTCATGAACATTCACATTCCCATTCGCATGGTGGTTCTCATGGGCCACATGATATGACTGTTGGAAGTTATGTGCTAGCTGGTGAGGATCATTTTTCTTTGAGAGAATGTCACCGTTTGCAGTGCGTAAGATCATGAAAGACACTTTTTGCACGCTGATGAGTTTTTAATTTGTAGTATTAAAAAAAGTATTGTTAAATCGAATTTAAGCTTGCAAGAAATCATGACTTTTCTAGGAATATTAACATTTTTGACAATAGAGAAGATTGTACGCATTCTACGAAATGAAAAGATGTTACATTGTCATTCACATAATAATGGCTTATTATCTTCGAATGATAAAAAGATTAGAAGACGAAGTAAAGGTGCCAAAACCAATAAGAAAAAGAAGTCGGATGTTTCATCAGCAGAAGAAGTAAGTATTACATTTGCATACCATTTTATTACTTTAATTCAGTGAATATTGGAATTGTCCTACTATGAAAAGCTCTGCCATTTAGAAATAGGCTTATAATAAAAATATTTAGATTACTTAGCTATTTAATCAGATTACTATGATTTGCTTAAAAACTTGCAAATAATTTCAATTTTTTGAATAGCGAGCAATAAAAATTAAACATATTGCAGAGTTTGCATAGTTGTTCCGATGAAGAGCGCAAGCATCTGATAGCAAAAACAAACGATGAAACAAGATTTAAAGTAGCAGCATATTTGAATATGGCTGCAGATTTTTCTCATAATTTTACAGATGGCTTAGCAATTGGTGCATCATTTCTCGCTGGTGCTACAGTTGGTATTGTAACGACGATTACTGTACTCGTACACGAGATACCGCACGAGATTGGAGATTTTGCTATCCTTGTACAGTCTGGTTTCAACAAGAAAAAGGTCAATTGTTTATTGTGATTATTTTCAGTGTTGAATCCTGATAATGCTAGAATAAATAAACATCATTTTATTGACGTTTAATTTCAATTTTTCCTAAAGAGTGAAGTGTAGTGGTAATATTACTTTCTAATTTTATGAAGTTATTCAGCTGTTATTGATATATTTTGATAATATAATGTTTATTATCAGAAAGACTTTTTCAATATGTTTTGGTTATTATAGGCTATGCTTGTTCAACTTCTAACAGCTTTGGGCGCTCTTGCTGGTTGCGTCTTATCATTATGTTCAGCAAATGTTGGCGAATTATCCGATGCAGCTTCCTCCAATTGGGTAGGAGATTCTATTTTGACATTTCATTAGTTACTTTTTAGAAGTTTAATGAAGCTCTGTGATTTCGTGATCTACAACTTAATAATCGGTAGATTCGATGGAATAAAAAATGGCGCATTGCTTTTACTGTATGAAATTCTATGAAATTCTGTTTCGTACATGAAGCTGTGATTATGTAGCGTTATGTTAATATCGTTGTGATTCTCTATGGAAAAATCGGTGAGCAGACTAGAATTACATTTATTGCTTTGATATCCATAAATTTTATTATTCGTGAATTAATCTTGGAAGAAGTTCACATTTAGCTCGGTAACTTTCTGCTTTTTGTTAAAGTTAGATTATTTCTTCTACTTTTAGATATTACCTTTCACTGCTGGCGGATTTATCTATATTGCCACTGTAACAGTTATTCCGGAGTTGCTTGAAAATACTTCTACTTGGCAGAGTACCAAAGAAGTAGTAGCCTTGTTAGCGGGAATAATGCTGATGTTTCTCATTGCTGCTTATGAGTGAAATAGTGCTTCTTCAGTTAGAATAATAGCATCAAGGAAGTTATTATTCTTTTCAAATCTGATAATGGTTGTTATTAGGAAAAGTTGATTCCGTCTATTTGTCAAATTGTTTATATTCATAATATGTATTGTAAGCATGTGCTTCAAAATTTGATTAATTAAACCATATACTTTTTCCTTTGTATTACTTTCTTATGCTGTCCACAGTTATGCTTTTTCATTTAAATTGTCATTCTTTTCAAATTTAGTATCGTTGTGTTGCTTTCTTGCACCACTGTTGCTTTTTAAGGCATGAGATTACTGGAATTTGATAAGAAATGCTTTCTAGAGTATTACTTGCAGTGGATACTGAGTGAAAGAGAAATGACGACTTATTAAATATTATATATATTCATTTGTAGTTCATGTAATTTAAATTTTTTTTCATATATGTTTTAAGTTTGGTGGAAGTTAAGATTTTATAATGAACTTCAAATATTAATGAGGTTGAATAAATAATTTGAAATTTTTACACAATGCTGAGTTTGAAACTCTTAAAAAGGTAAGTCGTAGTAATCGTTACATACCAAGGCCAACATTCCGATGTTTCGTGATGTTTCATCATAAAATTTTTTTAGCATCGATGAGCAATGTGATTTAGGTATTAGGTTGGATATTCGGAAAAAGAAAAAGGGTGACAAACTTTTCATTTATGTTTTTTTTTAATGTTTTAATTTTCTGATCGCTCTTCGATATATAGCATTCTTAAATACCATTTTTTTTAGATTTAGATTATTTAAATCAGTAATGAATGCTTTTTTGAATCGACCGAAAAAGCGAAATAATGCTTTGCCGACATTAATGGAAATTCCCTGGGTTGAGAAATAGTAGGTTTCTCATGAATCTTACATTAAACTATCAGACTACTAGAAGAAAGTTTTTAATAATTCAAATAGAATTATGTTCATTACAGATCCAGCTGGCTCTTTTTCTTCATTCATTTTCACATTTTTGATTTATCATCTGATTACTGTATATAATTTATTTGGTTCAAAATATTTTCCATTATCATTTGTTACTTTTATAATTGGTGAAATTTCTTGAATTTATGTAACTTGCTTATTTTAGTCGTCCACGGAAGGTCGAAGAAGTGGCTTTTCAAAATGAGGTTGTATCGGTGCTGAAAAAAGTAGTGGAAGGAGCTGATGTAAGCTTTTTGTGGAATTTACAAATTTTTGGTGTATTACAGTTAGTTCAGTTAATTTAAATTCTTTTAACAATAACAGGGTATAACGTATTAAAGCAGTATAGCAATAATAGTATTCTTCCTTAAATTAAATGGGAAACTAAATAGTGCTCATTAGGATTACTAATTTTTTCCTTATTGTATATTGAGTATCATTGCGATAAAATTTTACTCACGTAATTACTATTCCATGATTAAATATCATTTGCCTAATTATTATTTCATTTATACTTTTCAGCTACCAAATCTGCTATTTTACGGACCACCAGGTACAGGTAAAACATCGGCAGCTGTTGCATTATGCCGACAACTGTTCCGTAACATTGACACATATCATGACAGAGTGATGGAAATGAACGCATCCGATGAACGAGGCATTAACATTGTCCGCAATAAAGTTTGTTTTTTTTTTTTTTCATTTTATAATTTCAATTTTATTGGGTTATTTTGTAAATGTCAATCAACTTCCTAAGTTTTAAGTATTTTAAGCAAAAAATTTATGCACTTATGTAGTGGGTTAAACAGAAAGGTATGTATAATTTTACTTATCGTTATGCTGTCTTTTTTGTAAATGCTTATAGCTCAGAGTTAATTGATCATAACTTTATTTTCAAGTTCTATATCTAGATAAAGGAATTTGCTCGACGAGCTGTTTCATCACACTTACCAGATGGAAGTCCTGTTGTGGGATTAAAAGTTTCTGTTTTTTTTTTTTTTTTTTTAACATAACTTTTTAATTTCAAATGCAGCATATGGTTCATCCTCCAAACATAGGAAAATGGAATTCTAGTGAGCTTCGTTTATTGGGGTTTAGTTTATCGTCGAGCTGTTATCTGCTGGTTTAATAAATCGGCAAGGAAAAAACTACGCTTTCAGCATAATTCAGCATTAGAAATTATTTTTGACAATTTTGCTACTTTATTACGATGGTTTCACATATCTCTTTCATTTTTTCAAGAGTACTTAGTGAGCTTTTATATAATGGTATTTATAAAAAAGATGTGATTCAAAGCTCTCAGATCTCCATATACTTTTGCTACTCTTTTAATGAGTTAAAACTTAAATTTGCGATTGTTTAATAGATCTTTCGGTTAGGTGATTATCCTGGATGAAGCAGATGCAATGACTTCCCCTGCTCAAGCAGCTTTACGACGAACAATGGAGAGAGAATCACGCACCACTCGGTTTTTTCTCATTTGTAATTATATCACACGGATAATAGACCCGCTCACTTCCCGTTGTGCTAAATTTCGTTTCAAGTCAATCTCATCAGAAAGTCAGAGAAAAAGGTGCCAAGATTTTTTTTTCCATATTTGCTGTTTTGCACAATTACTCTTTATTTATTATATATATCATACTACTGATTAAGATAGACACAGGACATCGAAATTTTTGAATATAAAATAGATTTAGATGAATTTACTCTCTTCCTACAACGAATATTTTTTAACTTCATTTAATTACTATGTAATTAATTTTACATTATTATCTTACGAATTTACTAAGTGAAAGATTGGGAGACCAAAGATGAAGTTTTTCGCGGTTCATAATCTTTATCATGATTAGATAGTTTTTCTCCAGTGATTTGATTTTACATGGTTTTAATTTTTGAATTCAGCTTGTATAAAGGATTGAAGGATGATAATACATAGGTCATATCAAAAATAAATAAATGAACACTATGCAGACTTAAATGGATTTGCCAGAATGAGAATATTGATTTTGATCCACTGGCGATTGATGAATTAATCGAGTTATGTGACGGTGATATGCGAAAGAGTATCACTGCATTGCAGGTAAAATTATTTTTTATCAATATTTAACGGATAAAGTATTACCGTTTGAATTTTACGAAACTGCTCTATCTTCTGAAAGAAAACTTAGGGGAGAAGAATGAAACTTTAAAGTAGGGAAAGAA